CCCCAAAACCCCAAAACCCCAAAACCCCAAAACCCCGTGGAGTTTAGTTATTATTGAAATTGAGAAAGAGCAATGGAGAAGGAGATTGAGCAAGAGGAAGAGAGGCAGTTAGATCTAGAGGTTTTTAATGTGGCAAGGGAGAGGATTAAGGTTGGGTCTACGAGTGGAGAGATGAATGGGATTAATTGAAGGTTGTATACTTTTGATGATAGCACTCGAGGGATCTTCAGGCACTTGGTCAAGCTGGACCACAGCGTCCCTGTTGACAGCGGCTTTACTATTTATAGCATCAAACCAACGTTATGAAGAATTATAGCTAAAGTTCTGAACTTGAAGTTTACTAAGAACTTTAATAAGTTCTACTTTAATATCAGTCCCAATTATGTGGTTGCAATTAACTATTTTCCTTTTGAGAAGCAAATAATGAAGATTCTTCCAAAGGTGATTTATGAGTTTAAGATGGATTTTATGAGGATTTCCAGTAAGAGCTTTCAAAAATTGGTGGTGGCATGCAGGCATATATGTAGATTTAGCATATGGAGATCAATTATCGAATATCCAACATATCTTAGACAAAGTTTGAACAAATCTCTGGATTTTGGTAAAAATGTAGATTATAAAATATTTCATTTTGATCTTGTGTCTATTAGGTATCAGCCAGATACTTATTCAAATGCTCCTGTAAATATTGAAGAAATTGTGAAAGCAATTTCTGAATGATCTTTAAAGGATTCTTTGCATAAATTAGCTCTCACAAATTGAGGAATTAGCCAGAAGCATGCAATTGAGCTTACATCCAAATATGATTTAACAAAATTTATAATCATTGGAGACAAAGATAAGGATGATGAGAGTGAGGAAGATGATCAACCTAACCCAAGCAATTTGTTCGGAGATGATGAAGATTACTAAATCAATCAGAAAATTTTAGTTCGTTCAATCTCTCCAGTTTTTGATGGGGTTTTGGGGTTTTGGGGTTTTGGGGTTTTGGGGTTTTGGGG